AATAAGAATTTTCAAAATATTGGAGACAAATTATAATTTTCAAGTGAATTATGTTTGTCATGATTACCTAAAAGAAGGACTTATTTTGGAAATAATATTAAAAATAAAAATATCCTTGTATTCTTATTGGCCTGATTTAAGTGCCATGTAAAGATTTACCTATCAGCATGTCATGGTCCAAAGTGATGTGACTTGAGGCTTGACGTGATTTTGGAAGGCCATGGAACAAAGTGGGAAAATGAGGTAGACTTGTGGAAAATTAGTCCAAGCTTTCGGCATTTTATGGCGATGAGGGCATCGCGTAATTCAGTAAGGAATTACTTATGTTCTCCCAGGTCAAGGCCATAACAATCAGCGCAAATGTGGTACTTCGACAGGACATAACTGCTTACGTCCGGGGGGACGCAGGCAGGCCATGTGGGATGTGCAAGCAAAGAAATCAAATTTTGCCAAAATTCAAAAATCGTTTGAAGAGGATAAGTACTGTGGATTGCAGCCAGTTGTTTTGGACGCAATTGGATGCCAACTTGTGCAACTTGCATGAAGAAGACAAATTCAACTTAACTGCTTCAAGCTTGATGGAAGAAGCAAAGTTCAACTCAGTTCCTACTACTACAAACCGATATACCAACTGCACAGAGTTGACAAGGGACATACAACTTGCACATATCAACTTGCATAGAGGTGTAGATAATTGCAAATTGCTAGGAAGCAAAGATGGCATTGGCTAACACTTGTATTAAGGACGCTAATTTCAACTTGCATAAAGTGGATGACAACATTCAACCAATAATGACCCTTGGATAAATTAAATCTTGGCCATTGATTCCAACTTGTTTTTTAAAGACTTTGCCTATAAATAAAGGTGTTGGATTTTAACTCACAAATTTATATCGTATTCATACATAGATTAACTTTGTCAATCAAAACTAATTGAATAATACGTGTGGTAATGTTATGGCAGACACTTTACTAATTAATTATGCATATTATACATGAATTTTACCCCATGTCAAAATCATACGTTAATTTTATCCCTTGTACCAAAATCATGCATGAATTAAGTTACGTTTGTCAAACTAACATGACAAACGAAGTGCCTACGTGAAAGTGACGTGACGGACATTTGGGATATCAAACAATATCATTTAAATTGCATTTTTTAGGAAATCTAAATGCATTTGATTTCAAAAGAACACAACTGTTTGGAGTTTATTGAGCATTTTAAAGCTAATTACATAAATAAATAAGAAGAAATGAAAAAAGACCGTTTATATTTTCTCGAACTATTTAACATTATATTTAAGATGAAAATTTCTATGATTGATCATATATTTAACAGGGTTGTGCTTGGTGTACATAATTTATGTACATACGGGGACCCATCCCATATGAGGGGTATAGACACACCTAAGTATACCAAGAATTTTCATATTTAACATCACCAAAATATTGGATACATTCTTGATTCTACGACTACCATTCACATATTTCATTAAATGGCATGGTTTGGTACGTCAAGTATCTTCGTTTGCCACATGGATTGTTTTGTTAATTTTAATCGATAAAAATTGATCCATGAATGGATGAGATACATATTTGAGAGAGAACGTATAATTTTGATTCAAAGAGATCACGTATGCTTTTAATACAAGGGATAAAGTTCATGTATGATTTTGAGACATTAGAATAAAGTTCTGTATGAGTTCGGAGGGTAGTATGATTTTGATACAAAAAGAAAAGCTCATGTATCGTTCACGTAATTAACTAGTCAAATGACAGCCAGATTATTGCCATGTGGGCACCATTTTTATCACGTGGATTGTTCCATTAGTTATGACCGACGAAGTTAATTCATATACAAATTTATGAGATTATGATACAAAGCTAAACTTATGTATAAATTTGGTACATATGATAAAGTTCATGTGCCATTTGCTCATTTAACAACCCAAAATAAAAATAATAATAGTAGTAGTACCAGCAGCAATGGCAACGGTAGCAGTAGTAGTGGTGGTGATGACAAGCTTCTAGGGGAAAAGAATTATTAATTTATTTCTTTTCATAAAAAATAGTCCAATTGTAGTTAGGGTATTAACTTTTTCAAAAAGTGCAAATAAGTTCTGATTTTTTCATTTTTAATCGTGCAAACCCTTACCTTTGGGCAAAAAAGCCGTCAAAGGTTTTTTTTTTTAACCCAAAGGTTAAAAATTGCATTTTTGAAAATGAAAGGTTCGAAATCCATTTACACTTATTAAAAAGGTTAGGTACCCATTTACTAGTGATTCTTTATGAGGAAATTAGGCGTCGTACCCTCCGTTTTTAATTGTTTTGATTAATACTCTTTAATTAACTAAACATCTTAAAAGGTAGTAGCAATTACGTCCAAAAACCACAACCCAATTAACAAGCCCAAACTTAACCCGACATATTCAGACTCCTCATTCCGTAGAAATCGTCGGCGTCCTTCTCCAGCAAGGTGACAGATTCCGACATTTTTATCACTTTTTCGAATTTGTAGAATTTTTTTTTAATATCTGTCACTATTTTTGAAAATCTATCACTTTTTGAGTGTGTCACTTTTTTGAATGGCTGTCACTTTTTCGAATTTGTAATTTTTTTTAAACATCTGTCACTCTTTTTGAAAATTGTCACTTTTTAAGTGTATCCTTATTTTGAATTGCTGTCACTTTTTCAAATTTGTAGAATTTATTTTTTAACGTCTGTCACTTTATTGTGTATATCATTTTTTTTGAATTTGTTTCTTTGAGCGTCTGTCACTTTTTTTGAAATTTCGTCGCTTTTTGAGTATGTCACTTTTTTGAATTTATAGAATTTATTTTTTTAGCATCTATCACTTTTTTTGAGTGTGTTTCTTTTTTGAATTTGTAGAATTTTTTTGAGCATGTCACTTTTTTTAATTATTGTCACTTGTTTTTAGTATCACTTTTTCGAATTTGTAGAATTTATTTTTTCGAACATCTGTCACTCTTTTTAAATTCTGTCACTTTTTGAGTGTATCACTTTTTTGAATTGCTGTCACTTTTTCCAATTTGTAGAATTTATTTTTTTAACGTCTATCACTTTATTGTGTATATCACTTTTTTTGAATTTGTTTCTTTGAGCATCTATCACTTTTTGTCTGAAATTCTGTCACTTTTTTGAATTTTTAGAATTTATTTTTTCAGCATCTACCACTTTTTTGAATTTGTAGAATTTTTTTGAGTATTTGTCACTTTTTTGAATTGTTGTCACTTTTTTTTTAGTGTCACTTTTTCGAATTTGTAGAATTTATTTTTTTGAATGTCTGTCACTCTTATTAAATTCTGATACTTTTTGAGTGTGTCACTTTTTCGAATTTATAGAATTTATTTTTTTAACGTCTGTCACTTTTTTGTGTGTATCACTTTTTTTGAATTTGTAGAATTTGTTTTTTTTAGCTTCTTTCACCTTTTTTGAAACTTTGTGTCACTTTTTGAGTGTTCACTTTTTTGAATTTGTAGAATTTATTTTTTCAGCATCTTTCACTTTTTTCAATTTTTGTCATCTTTTTTAGTGTGTCACGTTTTTGAATTTGTAGAATATTTTTTAGCGTCTGTCAGTTTTTTGAATTTGTAGAATTTATATTTTTGAACATCTATCAATTTTTTTAATTTATAGAATTTATTTTTTTGAGCGTCCATCACTTTTTTGAATTTCTGTTACTTTTTTTTGAATTTGTAGATTTTTTTGAGTGTCTGACGCCTTTTTAAAATTTTTGTTACTTTTTTTCTGTCACTTTTTAATATTTCTATAACTTTTTTAGTATTTGTCATTTTTTTAGTTTTTATCAATTTTTTTTAAATTTTTATCACATTCTTATAGAACTGTTGCTATTTCTAAATATTAACAGAGTAAGCAAATTTGAATTACAATATATAATAACTAAAAAAAATAAAAAATTAGTAGAATGAAATATGAATCATTGTCAATTCAAACAAGTACACAATATAAAAAAGTCTATCAATAGAAGTATGTGGCTTGGGACGAGGAAGGGTCCGGTGGTGTGTCAGATGGTAGGATGAAGGGTGGGATAATTGGTTAAGAAAATGAAATCTGGTGTTTGTTGGGGGAAAAAATAGACAGTATTTTTTACGTCAACATAACAATTACCATAATTTTTCTAAATGTCCCAAATTTTATGGGTATATATGTAACTATCCCATTCTTTATTTGGTCCCTGCCTATTGGGCCACACTACATATCACCATGTATGTTGATTCTTCTAATGTTTAGTATGATTTGCTAACAAGGACACCTCACACCTATAATGATGAATCATTTACCACCAAATAATCTAACATTCTTTAACACTTTATTTTTGTTATAAATTGTAACAATAGATATATTAAGTAGGTGGGTCCCAAGCATCGCATGAACTAAGATAACTCAATGGAAGAAAAATTTACAACACGGGTACTTTGTCATTTATATAATCTTTTACAGATTGACAAAAGTGAAGGAATTTTTTTAATTTGGTTTATGAGATTTCGATCCAATTAAATCTCATCATATCATTTGTTGCTAAACTAATCTGTAAATTGTGGTGTACATATAACACATATCCCGAATACCATGATATATACACTTGGATACATTGAAAAATAACTTGCTCATTGATTACTAAAAATAGTAAACTATAATTGTTTATTTAGAGGGCGAATACTAGAAAGTTTAACAAAACTTGAAACAACAATTACTCGTGATGGAGAAGACTTTTATAATTCGATGAATCATAGCAAGTATTTACAAATAGTGCGATTCTTCAGTAATTGAAAAATTATAATTTAAATTAATATTTATTAAGTGCTGTCAAAATTGACCAAACTAAGATCATGAATGATCAAGTGGGATAAGTATAGCTAAGTTTCTTGACATCAAGACTTGTTAAAAAAAAAATAATAATAAATCAAGTTAATTGGCCGAATTCTGTCAATATGTTTCACTTTCGATTCGATCCCAATTCAACTCTAATTAAACATTTTAAGCGCTGTCTCATTTCCCTTTTGGATCAATATTGTAGTTAGAGTTCAAGAAAGCTTATTACTGAAACCTCCAAACTTCTTTTTAACTTCTTTATAATTGTACAATCATATTTTTTTTAAACTGTCAAAAAAATAATAATAAAAAGAACAAAAAAAGCACTAAAATGTCTGTATCGTCATCATCATATGGATATGGACAGAAGAATTCATCAAGTCATCATGTTTGAATTGGATCGCTTCCACGTCAGCAACTTCCGGGTACACTGACCTGCCTTGATCAGACTACGAACCCGCTCAAACTCCGAGATCCGACAGGGTATGGTAATCCCGCCTGGATGATCAAACCCGCATTCTTTTTCGGACTTCTTCAGCAAATCACCAAATGAAGGGTGATTAAAGTACACTACAGGAACCAAAATTCTCCGGAGATATCCATCTTTCTGTCCCACGTAGACTGGTAAATGTCCCTTCGGAACATTAACGGGATTTTCCTGAACTGTTTCTTGCCCGACCCGATTGTATCCAGATCCCGGATCAGGACCAAGGTCCTTGGAGCTCATTATGTCCTTGGCTTTCCTCCGAATAAGGTGGGTCCAGTCGAGGAGTCTTGAAATGGGCCTACTCCGGAAGCTCCTAGGTCGGTCAAGCGGCCGATATTCCTCCGGAGGTCCGTGTCGCCGGGAAACTGGCCGAAAAACACGTCTGAAAAGAGTGTTCACCCTGGGTTTGAGCAAGATACCTCGAATCTTTCCCATATTTTGATAAAAAAAAAATAAAAATAGAAGAATGAAGAAGTGAGTAAGGGTAGAGCAAGCAGTATTCGAAACTTTCTTTGATACTAAAGGAATAAATGTTTATTATGGGTTTTGAGCTTGAAAATTGGTCGGCGGCAGTGGGTGAGAAAATGAATAGGAGAGTTTGTGGTTAATCAATTTATATAGCCAAGGAGACCTGAAAAGTTCAACTGTTCAAGCAAGTTGACGCGGTATTTGTGTACTAAAATTAACATATGGGAATTTTTTTTTTTTTTTTTTTTTTACAAGGTGTCCGGGTGCGTTCGACTAGATCCTTGTCCCTGAACCTCCGACCCCTCAGCAGCTCAGGGAGGTAAATCGCAGGATGTGCCCTTGTTGGCTCCCAGGTTCCCACAACTCATTTGGACTCCTTCCGCAAAGAGAGCCCTCCTCACTGGGCGTTTGTTCACACCAATGACTTCCTCTCCATGTGGCTCCCAGTGTTAACTCCAGGAATCGAACTCTCCACCCTTGCTTCCAGCGTTCCAGCGAAGTGATTGTTCCACCAACTCGAATGTGCCCTGGGGGGCAACATATGGGAATTTTTTACATATAGAAGAGGGGGTACAACATAAAAACGTATTAAAACCCTAAGAAGTAAAAAAGTAGTAGGCCAAAAATGAAAATAAAACAAGGAAGAATTGTTCACTACTAAGTTCTAAACCAAAAGAAAAAGTAATGTTTTTTTTTTTTTTTAACGAGGTGTCCCAGCTTACGTCAGATTATATCCTCGTCTCTGAACTTCTGGCCCCTCAGCAGCTCAGGGAGGTAAATCGCGGAATGTGCCCAAGTTGACCAGGGTTCAAACAGCCTTTATACTCCTGGGCCCAAGGGAGCCTCCTCCATAGTTATTATATCACCAAACTGCTCCAACCCTTCCTCTGGTTATTACAACACTCAGCTGCTCCAATCAGGAATCGAACTCTCCACGCTGGGGTTGCGAGCCCCGCACTAATTATAGACCATCTACGCGAAGAGCACAAAAGAAGTGAAGAAGAAAGCAAGAGAGGTATGACCACCAATTAAATTTTCAAAGATTGCAAATTCAATAAAAAGAGCGTGTTTTATATAAAATGTTACCTCTTGATCGTTGTTTTCGATAGAGGGTGGATGAGTTTGGGACGAATTGCTAATATTTGGGAAGATTGGTATGTGGTTTGAACTCGTTTAATTAATTAATTAAAAATGCTCATTTGCATTTTTTTTTTAATTCTAAAAAAATGAGTAGTGCCACATAAAAGTCTAAAATCTTGAGTGATTATGAATAATATTATTTAAAAGAACAATTTTGAATTCTAAAAGGTTGACTAGTAAGTGATTATTTATTTCAATTCCATTCTAAAAAATATTCATTTTTATTTTCTCCAATTTTCTTCTTCCGACTATTATCCTCTTAGGGTGTGATGGAGATGGACCCTTATGTACATATCTGATATACACCAAGCATTACCCATGCCAAATTATCGTGGAGAAGTATAACACGAAGTGACAAGGAAATTACCCACATTAATATTTTGTTGGCTTTTCAAGTTAAATTTGACTTTTTAATTGTTGTTAGAATTTGGGTAAAGTGAGGTCTTTTGTTTTGATTGGGTGTTAATTCTGGTTGACTATGCTTTTTGTGTTGGGTATAACTGTTCAAAATTGGTGGCATAACATAACATTCAAAAAGTATTTTCTCCCAAAAATAATTCGAAATATATTTCATATATCATGCCACGTATTTCTAAGGAGTGTGCACGTGGATTCCATATCCGATAAATGTATTATTTTTATAAATTTCAATATGAATGTTCTCTAACTTTTTCGAATACGAATAGATGCATGCATATTTTTCTAAGAGACGTGAGAAAGTCGAATTGTAATTTGTTCGTCTATTGTTTTGAAGTTGTTAAAGTCAATTGCATTCAAAGAAAATATATTTTTTCATTTTTAAAAATAATATTCTAAGGCATGCGTCCAATTTTTTCTAGTCTATCTTATATAAGTCCTTTAAGCTCATGTTTGGTTCTCATTAAATTAAAATTTATTTTTCTCTCTCTTTTTATCAATCACATATTTTTTGAATAAAATTATATTACAAGTAAATATAAATTTTTTTTTCAATCTCGCGTTTTTAAAAAAATTGTTATTCCCCTCATTAAAATGCAGAATAATGGAACCCAAACAGAGGCGAAGTTTCCTATTAAAAAAGAAATTTGTTGGTTGTACAACTAGGGTTGACAATCTTTTCATAAGAGGGAGGTTCACTATTTTTTTTATTGATCGTGGGCTCCCCTCTCATGTGTGTTATTGTCAACCTCAATTATACATGTAACATTTACATGGCCGATTGAAAAATTCCTCGTTCTCTTAAAAGAGAGAATGTTATATTTTCTCCATTTTCTCACGCTATCAACTATCAATCATATCTTATAATTTTATTATTAGTAATATTTTTTTAAATAATATTTTGTCACACCGTATATATATTTTTTAATTGGTTGAGTAGAAACGACTTTGTTTACTATTTTACCTGCAACTTACATGCTTTGAATCTGACACACGGTACTCTTTCTTCATTTTCTCACGCTATCAACTATCAACCATATCCTATAATTATATTAGTAATAATATTTTTAAATTTTTTTTACATAATAGCTATTATTTATTTCTAAAATGTAAAAAGTTACTTATAACTAAAAAAATCATTTCAAGTTATTTAAAAGTAAAACGAGCTTATAATTGTAAAAGCTACTTATAAGTAAAAAAATAAAAAATATTAACATAAATTTTTTTTAAGTATAAATATTTAGATATATTTAGTTTTTTAAATTGAATATTAATGAAAAGATTAGATAATCTAAAAAGTTACTTACAAGTAAAAAATCACTTTAAAATATTTAAAAGTAATAAAAAAACTTATAATTGTAAAAGCTACTTAGATAAAAAAAAAATATTAATTTCAACATTTTTAAGTAAATATTTAGATATATTTATTTTTTTAAAATTAAGTATTAATAAAATATTACTGTAATTAAAAAAAAACATATATGTGTTGCACAGAGTGAAAGTCCATTCCGTGCTTTTAGCATTCCATGCACGGATGCATGGAGTGAAAGCACTCCATGCATTTTATTTTATTTTTATTATAGTAATTTTTTTATTAATACTTAATTTTAAAAAATTAAATATATCTAAATATTTATTTAAAAATGTTGAAGTTAATATTTTTTTTAATCTATAAGTAACTTTTATAATTGTAAGTTTTTTATTATTTTTAAATAACTTGAAGTGATTTTTTTTACTTATAAAGAACTTTCTGCATTCTAAATAGTGTAATCTTTTTATTAATATTTAATTTAAAAAACTAAATATATCTAAATATTTATACTTAAAAAATTTTAAGTTAATATTTTTACTTATAAGTAGATTTTGTAATTATAAGTGAATAAGAGATTAATATTTTTTTTTTTACCTATAAGTAGCTTTTACAATTATAAGTTATTATTATTATTTTTAAATAACTTGATGTGCTTTAACTTTTTAATTTCTAGATAGCGCAATCTTTTTATTAATATTTAATTTAAAAATAAAAATAAAAAAACTCTTAAAAGATGGGGTTGAGATCACTATTCATTCTTGTCACTTAAGTTTTCACGCTTGCTTGGTTTATACTATTCACAAACTGGTTCACAAAATGTCCCTTGAAAGTGGGCTTTGTTCTCTCTCGCTTTCATTTCTCCATACCAAAGAAAACTCTACCACACTGATTCTCAAAATCTGAGATCTTGAAACTCAGAGGGACGAATGAAAGATCTTAAGAAGGAAACTGCAGTATAAAGCGTATAAAGTGACAAGACAATCTAATCAAAGATGGGTAAACAACTTCTTCTACGGGAGGTTCTCAGTTTATTAATTTATCTTTTCTCTTCAACCTTTTCTACAACCCTTTCTTTTTGCAAGGTGGGAGCTTAATTCAAATTCTTTAAAGAATTCAAATCCCCGACCAAAATGGTTTTAATTATAGTAAAAAATAAGAAATAGAAACCCCGAAAAATGAAAATGATTGTATTAGAGAAGAACAACATAATAGCGTCATTGGTAAATCAGGTTTGTGGCAGGTTTATTGTCGGATATGCTGAGGAGATAATATAGAGATTGGAGAGGAGTGAGGAACAATGGCCATAGCACCAAAATGTGGTTACACGCAAGCGCATTTGCAAGAAGTGGATGACGGTTACAAAAGACGTGTTCGGAGGTGTCAATTAATCCACGGAGTGCCAAAATCACTTTCCCTTCTTTTCTTAAAAAGGTTGAATCTTTGTGTTTATGGTCTATTTTGAAGTACTTATGTTTCAAGTTAGTGATTTGGTGGATTTTGATATTAGCAATCTAAGTTTGGTTTTGGAATTGTTGTTCATTTAATAACTATGTAGACTTATGGCATCCGAATTGTGATAGAAATGACCTTTTCAAATTTGAAATGGTTGTTTATGAATGAAAATTGTCGTGTTGCCAATGGCTTTTAAGAAATAGCTGTAATTCATCTGTAATTCATTAGTGATTTTCTATTGAACCGATTTTGGTCCATTTTATTTAATTGATGATTCTACTTTGTGTAATTTCATTAGACTTAGGCTAAGTTTCTTGGAATAAAATGATGCATATGGTTGTACAAGCTAATAACGTTCATTTGGAAATATTCAGTAGCAAAAATTGTTGAGTGTTCTGCAGTAGTTGATTAACTGAAAGCATTGGATATGCGATTTGGGCAAAAAAGATTTGGTGGTTATTGATTGTTTTTTAGTTTTCTATGTTTCTTGCATTTAGCATGTTTTATTATTGTTTAAAAATGCGTGATATCTTTAAATTTTATCTATGCTGAACTAAGAACTTTGGAAATTATGTTGGCTGATGCTCTAACTTTCTTTTATTTTGCAGCTAGGGTCTCGAGAGTGTCCATATCGATGTCTTATAAAGCGTGAACAAAAGAATGTAACATTTTATCTCTGTCTTGCTCTTTCACAATGTAAGTAAATCTTTGTTGGAAGTTTCTAAGATAACTTATAAATTGAAATTTGCTTGTGTACCAAATGATATTTAATCATTTTCTATCTAGTGAATTGTTTAAGTAAAATCTTGAAGTTTAACATCTATAGTTAAAAGGATCGTTAAAATCTGTTGGGTTATTAGTCTTAATATCTTGTGAGGAGAGAC